GTTTTTATAAGGGGAACAAAGTATAGATAAGAGGTTTGGAATTCAGGGAAAGTTATTGGATTAAAAAAACTGGCAGCATTCTTGCCCTGGGCAATAGTCTTTAGCTGTGCCCCAGGTGGTGGCCTTTTATCTGTGCCCAGGGTAGTGGTGCCTCACTCTGGAGGACAATGGCTCAGATACCATCTTGATTGCTTGAGACCTCCTGAGGCACAAAGGCGAACTGCTTAGGTCTCCTGGAGTCCAGGTGGGTCATACCTTCAGTTCCTGAAACAAAAGCTTTTTATATACATTGATTGCTAAGCTTAATAGCTGTTAAACCAAAATTTTCAAACATTTGAGCCCCCTATCACAAGGATTTAAAGAAGCTATATTCACCCAGACAGGTAGGAGGAGCAGAGCCTGGGAGCTGGGATGGAGAGGACACAGTGTGGCAGTGGTGAGCTGGTGGTGGCAGCCAGCTGAATGGGTGGTCGCACATTCAAATGTGGTGGATAAGAATCAGGGGACACCTTGTGAGCAAACAATCCCAGACCCAGGCCAGATCTTGCAGCCCAGGGTTCCAGCACCAGGAAAAATAAAGCCTCAAAACTTCTAGCTGTAAAAACCAATGGGGGTCTGGGCAATGGAAGAAACTCCCAGTTTCTCAGGACAGCCCAGAAGGTATGCAAACTCTGGGAACCACAACCAGGGCAGCAGCTGGAGGGGTGTCAGCCATGTATGGGAAGCGGGTGAAGTAACTGGAAATGGGGCGAGTGCCAGGCAAGCCCCCAGAAGTCAGCCAGCAGCGCATTGCCCCCTCTTTGACCCCTCCCTCACACATGGAGCTACAAAGCAGTGAAGCATGTTGTCTGACCCAGCAAATACTCAAGGCTCCGCCCCATATGACTTAACAGGTGTGCCAAGACAGGGAGTCAAAGCAGTTCTACCAAGTACAGAGAGTCAGGGAGGCTGCCCAATTTAGGAGACAAAGAAATAGGGCCCAAATGAAGAAACAGAACAGAATCCCAGAAAAAGAATGAAGTGATGTGGAGATAGCCAATCTGTCAGATGCAGAGTTCAGAACACTGGTGATAAGGATGCTCAGAGATCTCATTGAATACAGCAAAAGTATAAGGGAAGAAATGAAGGCTACACTAAGTGAAAGAAAAATCCACAGGAAACCAACAGTGAAGGGAAGGAAGCCAGGATTCAAATCAACCATTTGGAACCTCAGGAATAAATATACATTCAACCAGAACAAAATGAAGAAATAAGGATTCAAAAATATAAGAAGAGTTTAAGAAGACTCTGGGACATCTCCAAAATGGCCAACATCCAAATCACAGGGATGCCAGAAGGAGAAGAGGAAGAGCAAGAAATTGAAAACTTATTTGAATTAATAAATGAAAACTTTCCTAATATGGCAAAGGAAATAGACACAAATCCAGGAAGCACAGAGAGTCCAAACAAGTTGGAGCCAAAGAGGAATGCACCAAGACACATCATAATTAAAATGCCAAAGGTTAAAGATAAAGAGAGAATCTTAAAAGCAGCAAGAGAAAAGCAGAGAGTTACTTACAAAAGAGTACCCATAAGAATATCAGCTGATTTCTCAAAAGAGACATTGTGGTCAAGAAGGGACTGGAAAGAAATATTCAAAGTCATGAGAAGCATGGAGCTACAACCAAGATTACTCTATCCACCTGGAGGTATTATTTAGAATTGAAGAGCAGATACAGTGCTTCCCAGACAATGTATTATTTATTAGACAATGTAAAGCTAAAGGAGTTTACCATCACCAAACCCCTATTATATGAAATGTTAAAAGGTCTTATTTAAGAAAAAGAAGATGAAAACTATGAACATTAAAAAGACAACAAACTCACAACTATCAACAACTGAATCTAAAAATCAGAAACAAAAACAAACTAAGCAAACAACTAGAACAGGAACAGAATCATAGATATGGAGGTCATCTGGAGGATTATTAGCTGAGAGGCAAAGGGGGGAAATAGGGGAAAAGGTATAGGGATTTAGAAGTATAATTGGGTAGGTACAAGATAGACATAAGGATGTTAAGAACAATATAGGAAATGGAGCAGCCAAAGAACTTATATGCATGACCCATGGACATGAACTAAGGCGGGGGGATTGTTGGAGGGAAAGGGGTACTGGGCAGAGGAGGACAAAGAGGGAAAACTGGGACAACTGTAATAGTGTAATCAATAAAATATACTTAAAAATACAAAAAACCCCCCCCAAATATGTAAAAGTGTTATGTAATAGACAAATTAAATAAATGAATAAAACAAAATTAAAATTAATGTATTTATATTAGTAATAAGTAAATAACCTAGTGGCTAAGAAATAAGTAACTCTAAATAAATAAAAATTCATGAATTTTTATTGAATAAAATAAAAATTCAGGAGTTCATACTAGTGGTAAATAAACAACCTGGTGGCTACCACCTTACCAAGTGACTGAAGTTGAAAGTTATTGTCACCAAAGAATGGTGCAAACTGACATTGCTTATATAGAAGATCCCAAGTATTTTAAAAAAATCTGCTAGCACTGATAAATGAATTTGGCATGGTCAAAGAATACAATGTCAATATATTAAAATCAATTGTATTGGGTTGGCCAAAAAGTCTGTATGGTTTTTTTCCATAAAATAAAAGACACATTTTTCATCTTCCCAATAACTTTATTGATTTGGGTATTTTGAGTATGTTGGCTATCTCCTGCGTGGTATAACATTGATTGTTCCCAATTAATGCGTCAATTTGATTGCTGTCAACTTCATATGGTCTTCCCAGCCACGGAGCATTGTCCAGGAAGAAATCTCCAGCACAAAACTTCGCAAACCACTTTTGACATCTTTTGACACTTTCAGTCACAGCACCTTCTCCATATACTAAACTAATCTTTTATTGCATTTCAGTTGCGTTTTTACCTTCCTTGAAATTGAGCATAGTAAGCTGAAAATGTTGTGTATTTTCTTCCATCTTCAATATTAAAATGGCTACATAAAAATTCACCAGTTTTTGATACATTTTTTAAAAATACACACTGATACGATAGCTGTCACAATACAATCTAATAAAATTGCTTTGAATGAAGTTAAAGACAACTAAGTGCTACTAGAGCCATCTTTTGGAAAAAAAACTAAATCTTTTGGCCAAAGCAGTATTTCTATAAATGAGCAATAAACACTTAAAAATTTTAAAATAATAGCATCAGAAACATAATTTGGGTGTGTTGGTAGAAATGTTCTAAATCACCCTCGGCAGCCGCTGAGTCCAGAGCCTTGTGTGGCGGGGCCTGACGTGGCTCTTACATCAGCGCCCCAGGCTGTAGGGCTTGTTCTCCAGGCCTGGCCGGGCTGCCTCCTTTTCACCGGCAAGGGGCCAAGGGCAGAGACGCACAGAGGGACACAGGGATGGGGCCTCGAGCACTCCAGCATCTGCAGGGCCTCTTTGCAGTTCTAGGGCCCACCTTCCTACCATCTAAAAGGTACTAGGTAAGATACTCTGTGTTCCTCACCGTCCCCAAGCTCTCAGTACCACCCCTGGCCCCCTACCCCTGCCTGTGGTCTTCCTGGAAAACACTCCAGCTTCTGCAGTTTTGGAAAACCAAACACGTCTTTACTGCAGAGCGTAAAGGTGCATCACAGGGCTACCAGGTCTCCACAGGCCAAACTCAGATCTCTGATCCTGCTCCTGGTCCATCTGCCCCTAATCTCTACCAGCCTCTCTACTCACCGGAGTGCTCTAGCCATTCCGGATCTGAGCTGCCCTTAACTGAGGCCGGTTCTCTGCAGCTGGAGCAGGAAGCCCATGCAGAGGGGCAATGAGGCTGCAGGGAGAGTGGGCTGTGTGTGCTGCCTGGTCCTGCATCATTTTTGAGGGCCTCTCAGGACACAGCTTAAGACACCCCCTCCACAAAGGAAGGCAGGCAGGGACTGCTTCTCAGAACCACACCTGAGAACGGACCCTTGGGGACCTTCTTGGCATGTATCTGCCATGAACCTCCTACAGGAGCACTGCAGCTCCTGGACCTGGGTAGGTTAATACTGTCCTAGCTGCCCTTCCATGGGGCTGGAAGCTGCCCAGCTTCTGTCCCTGTTTCTGCACTGGGAGGCTGGACTGGGCGCCTCAGTGGAGGCTGGATGGACACAGCCTCAGGGCAGGACTTCTGGGAATGCCTCCCTTCTCGCAGTGGCCCTCCCAAGCCCAGAGGACGCTGGCCAGGGCCTGGTGAGAGGCCCTGGGCCCTCAGTTCCCCACAGAGGGGGCTACCCCTTTACACCCACCTTGCACCCCATGGCAGAAAAACACTGATTTCGTCTTTTATTCTTCTTATAAAAGGCCTTCATATCATCATTTGTCTTACAAAAATCAAAGTCTTTGTCTTTGACTTTGAAAAACATTTTCCCAGAATAAATGGGAAAGGATCTCTTATAAAAATATTTAAAAAACAAAAGCAAAAACAAGTTTCTAAATCCAGATTGTGGTGGTACTTGCATGATTATACACATTTGTTAAAACTCAAAGATTTGTACACTTAAAATTAATGGACTATTGTTATGCAAATTATACCTCAAAAAGAGAGTGAGCACCTTCCATGTGTCACGTTCTGGATGCTGAGCATACAATAGAGAAAAAGAAAGCTTTTCCATTGGAGCTAACTTTCTAGATACCGTAAAAATATGTTGCTAAGATGGTAAAATGCACTGCCTATCCATTGGGCAGCTTTCTGCCTCAATTATTTTTTATTATGCCCCTTACCCAAAAAAGGAACAATAAAAACAACTCAGGCCCCAGACCTTTAAGACGCATCTTGGTTCCGTAGTCTGCCCTCCAGCAAAACTCCAGGGAACCAAGCGGGTCGAACTGAGACCCGATCCCAGACAACTGCCAGTTAGCAGGCAGCTTCCGGCGGCGAAGTTGAGACAACCCGGATCCCGGAAGTTCTTGCGGTGTCCTTATTTCCCGCGGCGGCGCGGGGGCGGACGGAAGCTCGGACGTTCGCCAATGGCTGTGCGTCGCGGCTGGGTAGCGTCCTGGGCCTGCCAACGAGGTAAGATCGGTCCGGGCCTTCCTATGTATGGCCAGTCTCGCGGGGGTCGGGGCTGCGGTCGCCGGCGCAGCCGTTGTCGCGCTTCTCTCGGCTGCACTAGCGCTCTATGGGCCGCCGCTGGACACAGGTACCCGACCTCAGGTTACTTGCTGGACGGGAGGCTCCGCGGTGGGTCGGCGGGGTCGGCGGGGTCCGCTAGGAGCAGTGTGTTGCGCCCGGACTGGGGGCGGGCGCGGGGGGACGGAGGTTTGCGGCGGCGGTCGGGCGGTCCCAGGATCACTGGAGTCGCGCGGGCCTGGCCGAACCTTTCAGGACCGCGGAGCTTTCAGGCCGCACTCGGCTAGAGTAATGTCAAACAAGAGTTTTGGGTGTCTTGCTTTTCAGCATGGTAGGTCCAGAGGCTCTGAGAATTACTGAGGGGTTTCTTAGCAAATGAACCTCACTTCATCACACCAGCAGCAGAGACGTCTCTGGGGACCAAGTTATCGAGACTTTTCATTGGGCACACACTATGATTAGTTAGCAAGATTTCTCTGAGTTTGTTTTCATTATTAGGTGTTGTAGATCCCTGACTTCCTGTCCTAGCTTCCAGGCGTATTTCCGTTGACTTAAGCACTGCTGTCATTGCTCCAAATTAGTTATGGTTCATATTAATTTAAAGGACGTTTGGCACAAGGAAACATCGGTGTCACGGCAGGTTGTAAGTGGCAGGTAATTCTAGAAAACAACCTAGGCTTAAGAAACCTGTGTGATTCTCCAGACTTACTCAGCAACATTTCTTTAAGACAAACAAACAAAATCCAGATCTGTTTTACCAGTTCTTCCAAAATCAGATTTGTTATGAAAACAAAGTTACTTACTTAATAGGATAAATTTCAAGTCACCTTTTGTCAAGGCCTTTTTATCCTTCAGAACTTCCATGTTTATATTTAAGTCCCCATGGTGTTTGTCAGTAAGCCAGGTGAAAATGAGATTCACTGTGAAGTTTATGGAAATTTAATTGACCCTTTCTTTGGCCTTTTCTGCAACAGGTCCGCATCTTAGGTGAGTGGGACAGGAGGCTGGTGAACAGTGTGGCTTTTTACTTTGTGTGCATACCATTCCAGTTGAAAAGTGAAAATGCTGTGCTTCTCAACAGTGATTCCCGCCCCCCCCCCCCCCCCCCCCCCCACGCCACCCTGCAAATGGTTTCCGAAGGCGTTTGAGGATTTGACCTGTCTTTTGGCTGGCAGGGTGAATATTTGGTTAAAGGAAAATGATTTCTTTTGCCTTAAAATGGCAGCATTTTGGTAAAATGATGTCTTCTGCCCTAGCTTATTCTTTACTAACAGGCATCTTCACAAGTCTGCCTCTGAGCCTTAGTTTCCCTATTTGTAAAAAAAAAAAAAAGTACACTGGCTACAAATGAGAGTGAATCAAAATGCCTCTAATTCATCAAACGTCTATTGGATGTCTTATTCTGTGCCAGACTCTGTTTGAGGCAATTGAGGATGAGGGTACAACATGGAAACACATAGACCCTCCCTGGATGGGAGCTGTACTGCATTCTGTGCAGGCAAAAAAAAAAGGTGGTGGGGTGGTCTTAGGGTGTTCTGTGAGGGGCTGAGTGCTCAGTATTAAAATGATGGTATGTAATAAACCCAAGACATAGGGAACCTAGAACAACCGAAAAACCCTTGAGTGACTGGTAAATTTGGATTCTATCTTTACAATTTCTAGACACTTTTTTTTTTTTCAAAGCAGCTGTATCGTTCTGGGTAATTTGAAAGAGTGACCATTCTCTGGTATTCTTGTTTATGTTCAAATTTGAAACAAATGCATGGCACACATTTTCATGACTACATAGATTGTTCACCAGCAGTCAGCGATGCTGTCATTAAATCTGCTAATCACAGCTCTGGTTCCTTTCATGCAGCTTGTGAGGGAGTGCCCCGAAAGAGCGTCTCATCATAGCTGGGCATGGCAAAGACTGCAGTCTGGGAATTCGGGGTGTGGCTGGGTATTGGGGAAGTTAGAAATTTCAGTGAGTGGGGGAATGAGAGTGGGGTTGCCCTGGTTAGCTCCAGGCCCCTGCCAGCGGGGTCTGAGTCAGGGTGAGAAGCAGTACTGCGGTCACCTCAGGGAGCAGAATGTGGCTGCTGAGGAGGAACCGTGGGAGCAGAGGATCAGCCGGTTTTACTCATCCTTGGGCTAGTTGTCCCTTTTCTGGGTCAGAGGTTTACACTGATTCTGTTTTGAGTTTTATTCCTGTTTTGGTTTGTAAGGTGAAAGTAATTAATGGCAGTAATTAATATTCCCTTTACATCTTGGGTTCTAAACACTCTAAAAATGTTATTAAAGGTAAATCTGTTTGACCATGTGGAGCTGAGCCTGCTTCTAATATTCGCTTGAACTTGTGACCCATGTCTAGGTTTTTTCAGCTGCGGGGATAACTGGAAGGATAAAAATATTGAGGGCCTTGTCTTCAAGGAAGGCCAATTAAAATGAGCTATTTAGAGACAATTCAGAATGTCTTTGAACCCAGTGTAAGGTATGTTCTATATTTAGAATGCCATTTCTAGGTTATTTAATTAGTATCTGAGTGTTGGAAATATGACTGGAAAATTAAATGGGGAATAATATGCATCTGTCAAGACTTGAATATGACAGTAGAAGGTAACAAATGGAAGATTGCTTTTCTAATTTGAGAGAAGAGACATAATGAACTTAAAAGAATGTTGAAATGAAATGTGTGTAGTTTGTTAATAACACATTAAAAAAACTTTTAGAGGTTAAGTAGACTTCCAAAATGCCTGATACATTTAAAAAATAAACTTGATATTTACAGCATGTATTAGTATTGTAATTCCTGAACATTTACTTACAGAAATAAAATAATTAAACCATTGGGCAAAAATCTCTAGCATTCATGTCAAGTCGACTTGGGGGAAGTATTTTGGTTAATGGGCTATGTTGTCTAACTCTCTGTTCTTTATATATACCAATAGATATTTACCATTCTGAGGAATTTTAATTTTCCTGTTTTTCAGTTTTAAAAAGAGCATTTTCGCTGCATAAAGCACATTCAATAAAGGATATGGACAATACTTTTCAGTTGGTGAGAAATATTATACCTCCTCTAGCTACCAAGAAGCACAAAGGGCAAGATGGAAGAATAGGCATAGTTGGAGGCTGCCAAGAGTAAGTAACTTGGAAAATGTTAGTATTTAAACAGTTAATCTCTATTATCTGGCCATCTACCTACCTATCAGCCATCCATTCAACTCTCCATCTGTCTAGTTGGACCCCAGTAATCATTTCCAAATGTAGTCTGATATTATGACACTTGTTATTTTTCAATGATGAACTTTAAGATGGAACAGGAGAAAACTCTTAAGGGACTGTGATTGAGCTGTTCACTGGTGTGTGTTGTTGTAAAAGTTTTGCCTGTAATTGGGGGATGAGACTATTTCTTCTTACCTTATACTTTTCTATATTGACCAGGCCCATACCATCAGCATGTATTGCTTGTGTAATCAGAGTAAAAACACTCAGCATCTGCTTGGTTTACTTTGTTAATTTAAAGTTATTGCTGGAAGTCATTTATGAAATTTGACAGATCCTAGTTTTTTAAAAAATACATTTTATTAATTATGCTATTACAGTTGTCCAATTTTTTTTCCTCCCCTTTATTCTCCTCTACCTTACACCACCCCACTCCCCAGCATTCCACCCCCTGCCTTAGTTTATGACCATGAGTTGTACATATAAGCTCTTTGGCTTCCCCATTTCCTGTACTACTCTTAACCTCTCCCTGCCTACTTTGTACCTACCATTTATGCTTCTTATTCCCTGTACCTTTTACCCCATTCTTACCCTCCCTCTCCCTTCTGTTTTACTGTTCATAGTTTTTGATCTTCTTTTTCTTAGATAAGTCCCTTTAACATTTCATATGAGGGCTTGGTGATGATGAACTCCTTTAATTTGACCTTCTCTGGGAAGCACTTTTTCTGTCTGCCTTTCCATTCTAAATGATAGCTTTGCTGGATAGAGTAATCTTGGATGTAGGTCCTTGCCTTTCATGACTTTGAATACTTCTTTCCAGCCCCTTTCTGCCTGAAAGGTTTGTTTTGAGAAATCAGCTGATAGTCTAATGGGCACTCCTTTGTGGGTAACTATCTCCTTTTCTCTTGCTGCTTTTAAGATTCTCTCCTTATCTTTAATCTCGAGTAACTTAATTATGATGTGCCTTAGTGTGTGCTTCTTTGGGTCCAAGTTCTTTGGGCCCTCTGAGCTTCCTGGATCTCCTGGAAATCTATTTCCTTGGCCAGGTTGGGGAAGTTCTCCATTATTTTTTCAAATAAGTTTTCAATTTCTTGCTCTTCCTCTTTTCCTTCTGGCACCCTTATGATTTGGATGTTGGAACCTTTAATGTTGTGCTAGAGGTTCCTAAGCCTCTCCTCATTTTTTTGAGTTCTTGTTTCTTCATTCTGTTCTGGTTGAATGTTTATCACTTCATTCTGCTCCAAATTATTGATTTGATTCCCAGTTTCCTTCCCTTCACTGATGTTTCCTTGTATATTCTTTATTTCACCTTGCGTAGCCTTCACTTTTTCCTTTATTTTGTGACCATACTGAACGATTTCTGTGAGCATCCTGATCACCAGTATTTTGAACTTTGCATCTGATATGTTGGCTATCTCCTTGAGTTTAGTTCTTTTTCTGGAGTTTTGATCTGTTCTTTCATTTGGGCCATATTTCTTTGCCTTGACGCTCCTGTTATGTTGTAAGGGGTGGAGCCTTAGGTATTGGCCAGGGCGGGCAACCCATGTCCCTGTGCTGTGGCTCTGTGTGTGGGGTAAGGGTTAGAGAGGGAGCAGTGCCGCTGGCTTTCAGCCACTTCCCCAACTACCCACAAGCAACTCGTCGATAAACCTGCTGTGCTTGTCTCATTCTCAGAAGTTTTTGACTGTAAATATTTTCTTTTTAGGTACACTGGAGCCCCTTATTTTGCAGCAATTTCAGCTCTGAAAGTGGTATGTTTACTTATGTCTTATTTATTGGGAAGAGTTGGATTATTTAAATATGATTAAAGCATATGTTTTCCAATAGAAATCTATATAACATCTTCAGGTAATTAGGGGTAAGACAAACATCTTTAAATGTACTCTGACCTCTTGTGCAGTGATAAAATAACTGAAACTCATTTATTTTAAAAATTAAGTTTTATCAGGATTGTACTTTACCAAAATGATCGTGGCATGCTTTTTCAGTCCTAGCTTAAGCAGTTGACATCTTTTGACTTTGGTAGTTTGCTCATGCCTTTTGGTCAAGTCCTAACCACCCATGTAGCACAGTTAGTATGACATGTGCTTAGATCAATGGCTGCATTGCTTCCCATGAGCTTCATAGATGAGGCAGCCTGGGCTGGTCTGGGTTGACCTGCCTCTTGGGTAGCAGCAAAAGTCTACCTTTATTTCCGGCCTTTTCTTAGGTTACATCTTCTCTTAAGCCTCCTAGCTGTAGTTTAACTGTTGCAGCTGGATATTTTTCTTTTATGGATAGCACTGTATAATTTGAATGGTTGAATACCACGTGTCCTGTAGTGAAGTGGCTCTTGCCGAAACCACTTTGGGTGTCTTTTGAGCATGTCCCACATTAAGTCAGCCTCTTGAACTTGTTTCTCAGGGTGCGGATTTATCCCACGTGTTCTGTACCCGGGAGGCCGCGCCTGTGATCAAGTCTTACAGCCCGGAGCTGATTGTTCACCCAGTTCTGTGAGTGGGGCTGCACATGGGGTGCTTTACTTGAAACAACTCTCCTTGGTCATGTGGTGTCTTTACACTGACTCTCTAAGAGCCTCTGTTTAGTTGCTGCTGTACTGAGAGTTGGTAGGTATATTGTTTCAGAGGAAAGAAGAAAACTGTAAAACAAGCCCATTGTCTGGTTAGGAGAAGAGAGACAGTCATGTGTAACTGAAGGAGGGGCTCCGGCCCACAGAGTCCTCCCGGCCACCACGGATGAAGAAATAAACTGTACAAGACACGATTTGCCTGTCAGGAGAGGGGGTGGCCATTCCCTCCAGTGGAGAATGCTCTGAGCCCTTCTCTTAAAGTGGCTTTTATTGATAAGATATACGCAGGGGTATACAGCATGCAAGCAGAGCTTATCAGTCACTGCCTAAAGGCTATATTTACAGAAAACATAGAGATCAATAGAAAAGATTTGCTTGAGGTCAGTGTCTGGTAGATAGGGTGACCGGCCTACTGAGCTCTAAAACTTGGGAAAATAAACTCATCCTTTGCTTGGACCCCAGACACCAGTACTCATTTAGCAAAGTAGGTTTCATAGGATTTAATGCATTCCTTTTCCGGGCCTAATTGCCCTGATCCAGTTTAGGGCTTAACTTGCCTCTAGTATTGTTCAAGCAAGAGTCAGGAGGGTGGAGCAGAGCAGCCAAGAGATAAGGAGACTTCTTGCAGATAGAATGAGGGCTTAGGCCATGACAAAGCCAAGGGGTGAGGGTCTTTTGTCCCTTCTCCATGTCCTCCAAGGCCTTCCCCGATGGCCCCTATGCAACTGTGCTTCTCTTAGTTTGCCCCTGCCATTGAGGGGTCTTACCCATCATTGACTAACCAGCCATCCTATGGGGCCAGGCAGGGTGATGTGAGGGAGGCAGGGGCTGCGCCCCTGCCAGGGGGACAGGTTTTGTCTCCTCAGTGGCCTATTTTTCCAACACCCCCTTGCTCAGCTCCAGCCTTGGGGCCCTCTCGCCTGTTGGCAAGGCTACAGTCTCTGAAACCAGGAGGGATGGTGCCCAACATGTAACATCATGGGATAAGATCTGAATACCAGGGTGATATGTCCAGGGCCAGCACCTGTGGTCTGTCAAAAATGTCTGGAGGCTCCTAGACCCAGGAGAGGTTTGTGGGCCTACCTATGGATAGTGCACATATGGCCAGAACAAGGGGCCTATCAGACAGTAACAAAACTTCACTTATTCAGCAGATCTGTGCAGGCCCTGTCCTGGGTTCCACAGGGAGAGCATTGAATTGAGCAGACAAAACACCTCCTCCCGTGCCCCAGAACTTCCTGTGATGATGAAAATGTTCTCCCTTGGTGCTGTCCAGCACTGTGGCTACTGAGCACTTAAAATGTGTCCAGTAAGGATCAGGAACTGAGTTTTTACTTGAATTTTAATTAAACTTAAAAGCCACATGTGGCTAATATCTACTATATTGGGCAGTACAGCTCTAGAGACGGACAAACAGCCAAGATAATAGTGTGTCAGGGGATGATAAGCACCGTGGATAGAGGGGAGCAAGGAAGGGGATGGAATGCTGGCTATGTGTGTGGTGCGTGTGCTCTGTGTGTGCAGTCTTAGTAGCGTGTCACGGGCAGTGGCACAGCAAGGGGCATTCAAATAAAGTCTTGAAGATGGTGAGGGAGCGAGTTCTGCAGACATGAGAAGTGGAGAGAGGCCCTTCCATACACAGGAAGAGCTGGTGCAAGAATTCAAGCTGCAGGTATGATGGGGAGCACTTGGGTGCTCAGGGTGGGTTGACATGGCAAGAGGTCCCAAGCCAGGCTTTGCAGGTTATGGGGGTCATTGTAAGGCTTGTCTTTGACATATATGAGAAGGAGATTGCTGGAGCATTTGAGCAGGGGATGAATAGGACCATTTTTTTTTTAAAAGGCTCATCTGGCTACTGTGTTAAGAATAAGCTTTTGGAGCCCAGTGCAGAAGTAGGGATCCCACTAAGAAGCTTGTGAAGATCCTGGTGATAGGTGTGTGATGAGGTAGATATGGGACAGTGGGTCAGGTTCTGAATATCTTTGAAAAATACAGCACCAAAGCTGCTGACTGGTGGGATATGGAATACACGGAAAAGAAGAGGCTCATGAATGCCACCCAGGTTTTGGAGTAAGTGAGGTGTCATTTAATGAGGTTGGGAAACTAGGAATGGAGGTGATAGTCAGGAGTTGGGTTTGAACATGTTTTTAGTCATCTGTTAGATGTCCAAACGGGCATGGCTAGTAAACATTGGATAGGGGCGGGGCGGTTGGGGAAGGTGTAAATCTGGGAGCTGTTAATGTGTAGACAGTGTTTGAAGCCAAGAGACAAAGATGAGGCTGCACAGGAGTGCGTGCAGGCAGGGAGTACCTGTTTGGAAGCAGGTGCGTGAGGAGGTGGAAGAGGCCAGGAGGGGCGTCGTGGTGGTGAGTGGAGAAATGTTCGCAGGCTGTTCCGACGGGCCTGTGTCCCTGTAGTCAGAGATGAGGACTAAGATGGTTTGCTGGATCTCACAGTATAGGGTCATTGGTGACTTTGACAAGGGCAACTTGTGAGGGGACAGAGCTTTATGGAATGGGTTCTGTAAAAGTCTAAGAAATGAGATGACAAACAGGAAACTTGTGAAAAAACAATAAAATTCTGTGCAGCCGTCAGGTCTTGTTCTAAAGGAGAACACTCTTAATGTTTTAAAGGGACCAGTCACACGAATCTTGTAGATGACTTCCCCAGTGTCTGATGTGGGGGTCAGTTTGGAAGTGTGTACGGTCTACACTGTTACCTCTACTCCTATGTGATGGGAGCAGACTGGTCAAGGTAATTTTGAAATTAGCTATAATGTCTTATTCTGATGTGTGTGAAATTTTTTCATAAGCCTTATTTTTTTTTCCTTAAAAAAAAGGAGAAAAAATATTGTATGTTTATAGCTGTATACTCTTCATTATTGACTCTATTTCTGATGGGAAGAAAGTTCTATGATGACCTCACTTGGATGAGTCCCAAGTCCTCTGCTTACCTTTGCAGATTTTACAAAACCATATGGACCGCTTGAATAAATTGCTAAGGCCCCTCCGAGGGCCTTGGAAGGGGCCCAGCAAGTGGAAGTTCTGATGCTTGAATTTTATCACAGTGAATATATATGCCCCTGCTTCTCTCATATCATTCCCTTGCTGGGACTCTGTTCAGCCAGACTGGTCTTTTGCCATTTCCCATAAGTGAGCACTTTCCCACCTTATTTCCTGCCCATGCCACTCCCTCCTTTACCTTGTCTGCTTATTCCTAAAGGAAGTAGAGATGGCTTTTCCTTTGTACCTTTCATGTACCACTGGGACTAGAGGTGGGATGTGCATCCTCCTTGTTCCTCATGGCTCCTCTCAGACCATTGCCCCTCTCTCATTCCTAAACCCTCCAGCTCCTTCGAACTCACACTGCCATGCTGTGGTACCCACTCCTCCTTGTGGCAGCTATATCAGATTCCTTGAATATTTAATGTCGGGTTCAGTGTCTGTCTCCACCATTGCTGTCATTAATTAACTATTTCTAATGGGTATAACTGCTTTATTGAGATATAACTTACTTTAAAATTCACTGATTTTAATTGTATAATGATTTTTGGTGCATGTACCAAAGTGTTACTATAACCACAATCTAATTTTACAAGACTTCCATCACTCCAAAAAGAAAACCCCCACCTATTAGCACCCCTAGCCTGAGGCAACCTACTCTTCCTTTCTATATAGATTTGCCTTTTCTGAACATTTCATATAAGTGGAATCATATGTGGTCTTTTGTGTCTGCCTTCTTTCATTGAGCATAATATTTTTGGGCTTCCTTTTCATTGTAGCATACATCCGTACTCCATTCCTTTAAAAAACAAAAATGTATACCCTTTTCACCCACTGCTCCCACCCTCACTCCCCACTTCCCCTCTTCTCCTCTTGTACCCACCAGTCTGTTCTCTGTATTTATGAGGGTGTTTTTTTAAAACATATAACAAAGATCACATGATATTTGTCTTTGACTTATTTCACTTAGCTTAATGCCCTGGAAGGCATTTTAATGTTGAAAGCTAGAGATCTGTGTCGGGGCGTTCAAAGATGGACCATGCTACAGAGAAGACTAAAGGAGAGGTGCTCTCCAACTGCCGGCGGGGTTCTGGCTTGCATCCTAGGACAGGAAAAGGACGTTTGGGGGCAAACTGGGAAGATCTAGTTTCATTAATAAATAAATAGGTGAACTTTTAAGTAAACTGACCTGCCCTTCTTCTCCTTATTTAGTGACCGCCCTGATGCCGTTCACGAAGTGGAAAGGTGGTTGCCCCGACTGCATGCCCTGGTCGTGGGCCCTGGCCTAGGGAGAGAGGATGCTCTGCTCAAAAACGTCGAGGTAAAGTGCGGGCTTACTGAACAGACTTGCCCGAGAGACCGGCTAGACTTAGATCTCAGAAAGTCAGAACAGAAACATTTTTCTTGAATTTCTGTTGTTTAGTGTTTTGTGTGCCTTGTCATGGAATAATTAAGATGGATAACATTTGGTTTAGAGGCTGCAAGAGGAACTAGGCATGAAGATGGTAATAAACTTCAAACAAAACTGGACTGAAGAAATCTTTACTCTTGGGGCACTGGCTTTTTCATACTGTAGCAGGAGGAAGTCACTGTGGAATCACTCATGTTTCATGGGTGTCCCCCTGATATTTATGTGTTTATACTCATGTTGGAAAGTCCTAGAACCCAGACTGAGCAGTGTTAGCAGTGGGCAGGGTTTGGGCTCAGGTTTGAATTCACCTTCCAGCACTATTCCTTTCCTGCTGGGGACCCTGGTGCTTGTTCAGCCTCCCAGGCCTTGTGCCTTCCCTGTAAAGGAGTGAGTGTGACCCCAGGAGCTACTGAGAGCAACATTTTATAAAGTGCATTGCCCAGTGCCAGGTGAGGCACAGTACTTGATACAGCAGGGACAGTTAAAGTCACTGTCACAGATGACCAGAGTAGGAGTGGATATTTCTGAGTTAGTCTACCAGATACTTTTGTTGTAAGTTGTAAATTTAAATAAAAACACAAAAGGTATCTATCAGTTCTATCTTTGTGTTTTTAGCTGGGTCCTCTCGAAAGTTCTATTAGTTTTAACTTGGTGCTTTTCCAACTTTCTTGATGTTCTTTTTAGGTCTAGAAAACCCTAGGCCTCAGGCCCCACTGGCCAGTTGATTTGCAGCTTTGACCTCTGTTCCTTTCCCTGCTGTCCTTAGATAAAATCTGCATACATGCACAGTCTAACCAGGCGCCTGGTGTCACAGAGTAGGCACAAGACCCTAGTTGCATATATAGATGTGTGTGTGTGTGTGTGTATCATATATATATATATATAGTGTCTGTCCAGAAGGCATCCAGCCATGTAATATGAAAAATAGAAACATTTATTGAAGAAGTTACAAGATACAAGAAACATTGTACATAGGACAGTGACGCCTCAGTCCCCTTCAAAGTAGGCACCTTGAGTGGGACCTCACACAATTCTCCCAGTTGCCATCAGCTGCCCTGTCATATTTTCCTGAATCTCATTGATAGTCTATAATCTCTTCCCTTTCAAAGTGATTTTAGTTTTGTGAAAAGCCAGGAGTTGCAGAGCACCAAATGCTCAATCTGGGCTGTAGGGGGGCCAAATCACCTGGGTGATTTGATGTTTCACAAAAAAACTCTCCACAAGACACAATGCTTGAGTGGGCACATTGTTGTAATGAAGCTGCCAATCGCCAGTTGCCCATAGCTGCGACCTCCTAAATCATCCAAATAGTTTCTGGGGAGGAATGTTCAAGCTTAACACAAAGTTTAATGCAGATTCTTTGCTCTACTTGCTCAGTCATTTTAAATGTGCTGGCCACATAGTACACATGCTCACTCAGTGGCGTCTGCTGTCCCCGCTGACTAGTCTGGCAAAGTTGTCATTCATGCATCTGCATTCTAGTCCACTGTCCTTGGCTGCCCGGTTACGTCGAAGTCGCACAAACTGTTCTTGTTATATTAACAATGACAGGACTTTTTCTGGGCAGACCTTGTGTGTGAGGTGGTGCTGTAACCTCAGGAGGTCGGGAATGACTCCAAATCAAGGAATGTGCCTGATGCCCTCAGATGGTGCCTGGCCACGTGCCCACTAAAGGATTTCAGGGTCATACTAAACATGATTTAGCATTCTCATTGTCATTAACCAAGAGGAGCTTTTTTTGGGCTTAGTTTTTATGTTTTGAATTAAAGTCAACAGAGTGAAAAGAAGGTGAAGATAGCTGTGTGTTAGTTGTACTTTCTTGGCAATCTAATTGGCAAAGAACATTTTTAAAAGGTAGGAAGTGTGTTGCTTTACCAGAATGTAGTGACAACATGGATTTTCAGTATACCTGCCATTACAGATCTTCCAGTTCCAGCTTTTGAGGTGGAAGTTGGGGTTTGAAATTTCACTGTCTTTGAATAATCACTGAGGAGAAACATAGCCATGACAAATGACAGGTGATTGGGGTGAATGGAATTGAGCAATAAATTTGTTGTTTACTTTAAAATTGATAGATACATTTTATTGCCTCTTTCAAAAGGATTGATAAAAATGTGTGTATCCTCTGGAGTATATTTTGTGAAGTGAAATAAGCCAGATGCAGAAAGACATACTGTGTGATCTCACTTCTGTGTTCAGTCAAAATGGTCAAACGCATAGAAGCAGAGAGTGAAAGGACGGCTGCCAGGGGCTGGGGCTCGAGATGAGGAGGTGTTGGTCAGGTGTCCACATTTTCAGTTACACAGGATGAATAAGCTCTGATGTGGAGCATGGTGACTAGAGACAGTGCTGTATTGTATACTGAAATTTGCTAAGAGGCAGATCTTAAATGTTCTATCTCAAATGTTATATGTATATACATACATATATGTGTGTGTGTGTGTGTGTGTGTATATAAAGTTTTTCATTTAATGAAAACTCTCCAGCCAAAGAAAAGGAGCTCACTGCATAGAACTGGAAGCCAGCCCGAAGTCTGTGGGGTGCTAGGCTATTGAGTGGTTCTGAACAGAATGCCTTGTGCTTCACTGGGCTCTGTAATGAGGAGCTGTGATAATAGACGCCTGGAGTTGGGAGGGGCAGCTATTCACTCTTATCACAAAGAGCTTGCCTAGAGAACAGGAGAGATTAATGAGCCAGCAGTGGTGCATTCAGGAGAAATAATCTGAGAGGCTGTCCAATACAATTTAAAAGTAGCTCTAGATGACACATTGTGCAAAGTAGAGGATTTAATTTAGGAATCTCCTGGTCCTAAGCCACCTGGTATTAGCATGGGTTGTGCAGGTTTGTCAGGCAGTGCCATTCAGATCTTTGAAACTCTTAACCTCTTGCTGAAAAATGAGAGTTAATTGTAGTCGAAGTGCTAGACCCTTTGTTTTTACCAAGTAGGCGACCTCTCCTGGGGAATTTCCATGTGTAAACAGCAAATCTGCAATGCACTTTGTGTCCAGAGTTACTGGTGCTTGGCACAGGCCATGGGAGGTCTGGCAGTGCCTCTTTGCCGGATGGCTTGTCCTTACAGAGGCAAATGAGGGCTCCTGCCAGAATGGAGCCAGAGCATTTATTCGCCCAATGAGCCTTGTGATGATGAGATTCCTGACCTTTTGTTGACCTGCCGATAAACCTCTGGTCCCACTGATCATGGCAGAATGGAGCTCTCTGTCTCCTCTCTCTGGTCTCCTCTTTTACGCCTTGTTGTTGATTCTCAAATTGTGGTGTTTATTATGTAGGGTGGAGACTTACACGTGTTGCTGGTGTACAGGTTTGACTTCTGGTGCTTCCGCAGTAGAGCCTGTAAGACTGTAGGATGACCGCCATCTGCTGGTATAATCACACAATGGAGACATCTGTGACCAAGAAGAGACCCACACCTGGCACCATCATCTCAGACTTCGAGCCTCCAGAACTTTGAACAATAAATTTCTGTTGTTTACAGGCCACATGTCTGTGGTATTTTGCTATGCAGCCTGAATAGCCTAAGACAGCATAGTTTGACCACAATTTGATTCAGGCCGTTTGTTAGGGTGTTTTCCGAACAAAACATGGACTGTGTACTGTACTGTCGACGGTTGTGATATGCAAGCCTCGTGTTTGGGGCTTGCCAACCTGTTCCTCCTCGTGTGGGATTCCTGCCAGGCCCTGGCCACCATCCTGCCTGTCCTGTCCTGGCGGCGTAGCTTCCTGCGCCTGCGCACCTGAGCCGTGTCCGGATGTGTTCAACCCCAGTGAGTTCCCATGCAGGGCATTTGGCCCTTATCCTGACCCAAGGACTCCCCTGTGTTTCTGAGCACTTACCACACAGATGATTCATTCCGCAATGAAAAATCTAATGCATGGGAAATTAAAGATCAGCAATTAGAAATGAAGAACTTAGTTCTGAAACAGCTGTTTAAGTGAATGGAAAGAATGCTTGTATTTTTCCAGTATTCCACATAAGCATTTTTTCTTCCTTGGGACAAATGTATGTGCTAGGGCTTACACAGAACATTGGCCGGGAACAGAGGGTGAGGTGGGGGGAAGCAGTTATTAGCTAGGGGACCTGAGACAGGTTGTGCAGCTTTATTGACCTTGGGTTTCTGTTTTCATTATCATATTCTATTTATTGAATTATTAAGCTTAGTAGAATCTGTGAAACATACACTAATATTATGTATGTTTTGTATGCCAGGCACTTTTCTGAGTATTTTATATTCCTGAACCCATTTAGTTCTCACAACAACCCTCTAGGTAGGTATTAGCATTATTTCCATTTTACAAATGTGGAAACTGATACAGAGAGATGATGTCTGGTACCGGTATCGTATGCCCACAGTCATCCAGGTAGGACTAGTGAGGGGTATTTATGTCCAGAATATCCAGTGCCAGAATTGATACTCTTGATACTTAAAGTCTGAGGAGCAAATGAGATTGTGCGTGTAAAAGCATCTTCAGGGGGCTGTGAAAGTAAATAGAAGTATTTATTTTAATTCTGCTGCTGTGCTCTGTGCCGTGTATGGCCCTGAGGACACAAAACCCTAGCACAGGTGGGGGTATAATGAAGAGCTGGCTGGTCTTTGTCCCTGTTCCTAGGAGGGAGCCTCTAAACATTTGGAATTTTTTGAATGATAGAAATGACTCTTATTTAAGGTGGGCCTCTTGGGCTGCACCTGAGTTTATGCTAAAGAGTTGACTCAGGATAGGGGCCTTTACACCAGGAATTTGAGGTTAGGGTTGTTGCCACCTCCAGGGAGGGGCAAGAAGGGGACAGCAGATTGAGTTCAGTCATGTGGGCAGTGACTTGTCCTTTATGCAAATATAATATGAAAGACCCCAGTAAACTGTCAGTTGAGCTTCTTGGTTGGTATGCACACTAT